CAGAAGTTGAGAAATGAAGACTGCTGAATTTCAGTCCAATATTCAGACGGTAAATTACTCATCAGGAAATCAGATGTTTCTTGGTTCAATCCTTCAATGAAGTGTGGGTGTGTATTTCTGAAGCGTCCTAAAGTAAGAAGAACCACTTATTCAGTGAATTGCTTCCCAATTGTTATTAGTTCTATAGCTGATGTCAACTCATGGTTAAAACTCCTTAGAAAACAACCGATTGCTCGTGTGCCATCAAGGTGAGAAATGTTATCCATTTAATATTGACAGTAGAATCGAGAAGCATTGCCACCCCTAAAATGACGAAAAGAAAGTAAAGTCCTTCAAATTCTTACTGCTATCATCGCAAATAAAATGATATAAAGTTCATTACTATTCTGGGCCTTTGGGACTAAAAATAAGAACTATCTCAATGACGTCAGAGTCAGGGTTATGGATATACATCAGAAATTCGTAGTTGATTTTAAAACTTGAAGTTGGGTGTAAAGTTTTATAAATCAGACGTGAAAAGTTGATATTTAGCTTTGAAGACATCTAAATTAGAGGTGAAGGTATACAACAGGGAGTAAGTTCTTTCCCAATAAGTGACACAAAGCTACCGCATAAGAACTAATTCAGTCTAATTTTTACACAATGTACTCTAAAACAATACAAGCTGAATACTCAGAGCTTGAAGGAACGTTGAGTGGTTAAAGGTTATCCGGTGAGTGGTTCGAAGGCGGCATGATGTCTTGGTTCTACCAATTTGACCAGGATCACACAGTAATTTGCATCTTGAATAAATGAAATTATTGCGCTTAGAATAGGAGCAGGTTTCTATCTGAAGTTACCCCAAGTAAATCTCAATACATTTCTGTTTCTCCTTATATATAAGAGTAGGTTTGGTACTTAATTTTCGAACTTTCTGCTTCTTTCATTGCACTTAATACTAATACATTTTCATGTCTTCGCAGTGGCTTCATTAGAAATAGTTGCTAATACATTTCCTCTACTATTTCTCCGAGGTACAGTGATTCTACGTCTGACTGAAGTGATGGAGTAAAAGTTGAAATACTTGTGGTTGAAAGACCGAACTTGAAAGTTTTCAATACCATGAGCACTTAAAATAGCATTTCAAACTGATCACTTTATATTTGGATGTTTAATGTTATCAATATAAGCCTGTGCTATTGAAGACTGAACACATAAAATATTTAAAAATAACTGAGAGAGTAAGAAAAAATGTACACAAATATCATATTTATGTATATTTTTGATTGTAAGTTTAAGGGTACTAAATACTTGTAGAGAAAGGTTTGACTACATCTTTGAAATTTATCATTGGTGGGTTCCGTAGTACACTTGAACCAAATTCCAGGCTGGAGAAGAAAAGAGACAAGTTAACCTAGAACCTTATTTATTGTTGTATCATTCAGAGTTGCAACATATCATACAACAGAATACAATTGCGGAGTGCACATAAATTAGACAACCTAGCTCAGAGAACACAATACAACCAAGAATTATATTAAGATCAACGAATAAGAGTATGAGAAGAGAGATAACAATTCAATTAAGGGTTGGTGAAATCTTTCAAAATGAGTGTCCATACGCTTTTGCCGCTGCGATCAATTTTGAATCATTTCATTGAGGACCTCTAATCACTGATATCGAACGGTGTAACTGAAGAATTCAGCTGTCATTGAGTGACTTGTTTGGTGAACTTAAACTGTTAACCATATTTTGAGCCAAACGAAACCTTGTCAGTAATCACTATGGTAGCGCTTGGATAAACTACAAAAAATCTTACCGTAAATGATCATTTTACGGTATCTGCCAGATCTGCATGTTTCTCTGTGTCCATGTTGTCCCGAAGTCAAATAAATTAGGAATAAACAGCTTACACCAGAATACGGCTTGTTTCATGGTGTATGGACACCATGAATCCTAACTTTAGCCTCAAATAATTAATCCCAACATTTGCATAAAACGGGACAGTATTCTCTACAAACTCTTAAAACAAAAACTAACTGGTCGATTAATTGCTATTTCGCTAGGTAACTTTATACTCGGATAGCTTCAGTTAAAAAGTGAAACTTCGAACCTATTTTTTTGACCCTTATGCCCAATTTGAGTTGCTGGTTTTTAATTCGCACACTGAGATGAGTATTTTACAACAGTAACTACTAGGATAGTAGTAATATAGTTTCTTGCCGCCAGAACTTAAACCCCCTATATCCCGAAAATAAATGTCAGACAGATTATCTAGTGATATGAGTTGGTATCCATTCACGCTGGTCGGCAACTTTTGGAATTTGAAGAAACGTTATCCGAATATCAATTGAGCATGTCGCTCATTAGAGAAAGAATTCCTTATCGATGTAGACGAACAAGTTGACCAAATAGGACGAAGTTTCTCAGAACACCTATCCATGTGACGTGAACAGGCCGATAACATGTAGCCATGACGAGGTTGAAAAAACTTAATTGTAGTGAAATAAAGATGAGAAATAGAGGCTACCACTCAGTCTTTCTGCTAGATTTCATTGCTAAATAAGTTTCAAATTCATTTTAATCCTCAAGAGTTCTGTCACTTCATGATGTAGATTAAAAATAATTAGTTGTTTCTTTATCGTCTTTTTTCTTCAGGTTTCTAGTTTAATAAAGTAAATTTGAGACTGGATTACCAGAAAGAGAAAGCCCATCAAGGAAACTAATATGTCTGAACTTTATATGTTGCACCACAGGTGACATGAAATTGATGGACGATCTAAAACTGATGGGACCATAGCATTTATAAACTGAGTAATTAGTGGATTCCAAGTATATCACACAAAAATGACATTAACTTGTTTTCTGTTGAAAGTTATCTAGTAAAGAAGAACTTATCTTACCTTTGATAAGGTCACTCTGGCTAAGACAGCGGAACACGCATTTGATCGGTTGAATATAGAATAGTGTCAGGATTTCTTTTCGCTATTGAATGATAATCCTATGGTCTATAACAGTTGCGCAAATCCCACTATGTTCAGTTCAAAGTTTTTTTGACTCTTTACTTATTTACTTTTTAAAAGTTGTTCTTGCTCTTTACGATATCATATGGAGTTATAAGGGTTTTAGGAGATGATGTAATTTATCGCCGTATGGTCAATAATCACCAGAGAAATTAACTCAGAATATTTAAATTCTTTACTACATTTCAAGTTGATGAAGCTTTACTCGCAAATTAGTAGTTGTTGTTAACCTTCAACAAATAATCAGAATAGGTTTAGCCTTTTCACTAATGGCCTTAAACAGTTTCTAAAATAATATTCAGTATTCTAATAAACTGTATGCGAAATAACCTGCTGCATGAAGTCGAAACCACTGGCGGTGGTAAATGAACTGGTGACTGCACGATAATTGGTAGGACAATCAAGTCGTAAGCTGTGAATGAAGTCTTAGGTAAATTCTGTAGCCCGACCAATCAGCTAAGTGATACGACACTGCAGTGCATTTTGTTTGGTATCAGAAACCAAACACCAGAAATCCCTATTCAACCTCGGTTCCATGCTTGATGGGCTCCACTGGCAAGGCGCAATTGTATCTTTCATTATGTAACTACAGACAGTACTCTTATTTTTTTTTAGCTCTCTTAGTATGAGCAAATCAACAGTTGTAAATAATTCCACAAGTGTTAGCGAAATAGGGGGAGTACCTTTGTCTCACATTTTTCTGCAAACATACGCAGCAAACTAAATACTACAACTTTTAATACTTACCAAGTCTTTGCTCTTATCTGACTACTTGTTTGTTGGGTCTTCTTTTAGAATTTATGCAAACTCAGTAAACTGAGATAAACAGAAATTATGAATACCTATTTTTAAAAATGATACTAAAAGGAAATAACACTTGCCCCATTCAGTGAAAACACTTACAACTACCAATAAAAAGATCTTTCCATCAGTACGCTTCCCATTTAAAAGAAAATTCCACCTGAAACCAACATATTTAAAAATGTTTAGTTTATAACAGTTGTGAAATCACTTCATATCCTTTTCATATGCCACTGAAAGTTAAATACAATGAAAAACCTTGTCGATATAGATATTAAACGATTCAATTTATTCACAGTGTTTATCCTAAAAGTCTTAGTTTAGTATATTGCGCTAGTTTGCATGTAAACTCTCGCGCAAAGTTCATATCGTGAATAACTAAGTAACTTCTTCAAATACTTTATTTCCAAACATTGTTCTTAGGGGATTATCAAGAACATACTCTAAGTGACTTAATAGTTGATTTAATGCAGTCGTTTATATTTGTTGCACTTATAATATCCGTATTAAGTTTTAGACAATCTCCTTTGCTAAACTTCCTGTGTTTACTGACACTATAGCTCACTGAATTATACGTAGCTGTTTGCTTCTCGAAAAGTATATCTATTATACCAATTTTCCAAACAATATCGGACCTAAACACTTTGGCGTCTATTTCTGCTATAAATTCACCAATAACAAGTAGTTTTATCATTCCTGATAACTCATAGTGTTAGTCAACCATACACTAATCGGTCCGAGAGCAGCAACCAGCATTATGCTCTTACACAAGTTATTAATCAGGCTCTGTCGATCAAACTTTTGAACATAACCTTTATATCAGGGATATTGATAGTATGATGCACTGTTAAAATTAAGAGAGTTGAAACGAGTTATCGTCAGATTAAAGATGAAATCCTTCAACATGATCCAAAATTATATGAACTGAAGCACCAGATCAAATCTGATATTAATCGGAGTTGAAGATAAGTCCTGCCAATGAATCCTGACGAACAAAAAACCAATGTCAAAGACGTCCGTGTATTTACAACAAACGACTGAAAATGTATTTTCATTAAAATCGTCTTCTGTGTTTTCCTATGTTAGATAAAACTTTCTTAACCTTACCAGTGTTTCCATGATCACAAATCAGAGTTGACGCAACAATTTAGACACACCAAGTAAATATCAAGTAGTGATCTAGAACATAAAGAACTTCATTCAAAAGCTCTCAATTAATAAAATGAAAATATAACGTAATAACATAACAGCGAGAAAAAAACAAGGTAAAATATATGCGTATAAGCGAATTTGTATACATTCTTTAAACACTTGTAACTTAACATCATATAACAACAGTGTATATTAGCTGAAGAAATAATTGCCAACGAGTAAAAATATATTCAACTTATTGCATTTTAATCACCTATGAAAAATCCTAACATTGTGGAAACACATAAGACTTGAAAGGCTCAATAGGAACAAAAATTGACCGGTATTTGAACTTTAATAGCCAAACAAACAAAAATGACGCTGACAGTATGAAGGAGGGAAACAAGGAAAAAAAGCAGTAAAGTGGTAGTACTAGTGGAAACTGGTTCCTATATTGTAAGTTACTTATCTGTGAGAAATGTTGAAGGAGTTGATGAGGAACTTGTGTAAGAGAGAAGCTATGTACGGAATTTAAAGAAGCGTATATAAGATAATCTAAGGCACTTTAGGAATACAAAAGGTAGCATGGGGAAGGCACATAAGGAAAGATGCAATGCATGCACGATAAAGAGGTTACTTGGTTAGGTGGTTTTTAAATGCCTTTTTTCATCTCTGTCACTGATTATACACCAACTTCAATGTTGACTCTGAATAAAGGAATAGTTAAACAAATTACCTGAACTGTTATAGAAAGTAAAAGTGAATCTGATAGCTGGATATAAATATATGTTTATTCAAAAAGACTGTATCATAAGTGTAGCTGATCTTGGACGAGAAGATAGATCCATAGCTATTTCATTTGTTTGTGATGTCAAAGGTCTTTTTGTTTCAGGTAAATCAGATCTTTTAGCTGGGTTCCACTGCATCTCATCTGTCTGAGATGGATCTCCTGAAGTTTGGCCAAAATGATCTGACTCTTGATTCATGGTATCGTTAGCATTAGTGTATTTCTCTGTTGTTGAACGGATGCCTTGAACAGCTGCTTTCATACATATATCAATTTGTGCAGGAGTAAGTTCAGAAAAATTATATCCTAAACTAGACATTGAAGACCAAATTGACGAATGCAGCTGGGAATCAAAACACTCCGTCGGATTGTTGACAGAACTTAGAAATGGTTGCATATCACATAAAGGCTGGAAACTCAAACTCTTAGGATCTATATTTTCAGATTTATTTAGGAAGCTAACAAAATGAGACTGAGGAACCAAATTCTTAACACCCAGTCCTAATTGTGAAGTATAAGCTGTCTGATTCAAGAGTGCTGCACAGACTTCTGGAACATGAAATGCACTTTGAAAGTTAACATTGTTCAGTTTCGACGAGTTCATTGATCCTAAAATTACATTCGAATCTGAAAGAGGTGTACTGTGATTAGGACTAGGATTTATTTTAGAGTTATCAGGTGTCCATGGATCAAACGAACTCAAAGGGATTTGAGAGTTAATTTCTTCTGCTGGTGGTGTGGTAGTAGTAAATGGGTTGGAAACGGCGTTGTTTTGCATTCTTGATTCCGCCAAAGACGACAGAATACACTTTGATTGATGACGATTAACAGCACTCACGCATGTAAACTGTTTACCACATATGCGGCATTGCATTTCTGTAGTTCGTAAGTGCATTTGAAGATGAATAATTTTCATATGGTAACGCATGCTGCTTTTAATTTCATATATCTTCCCACAAAATTTACATACATATAACTTTCGACCGTTTATTTGACGTTCACACTCATCAATAAGCGTGTTTAATTTATCCGCACTGGTTAGGCGCCATCGTTTGGTATCAACCTGAAACTTGGCTGTCATTTGGGAATCATTTAGCTCAAAATTATTCTGATCTGAGACATCTGAAGAACCCTGTCCGTCTTCAAACTGCTTATCATTCCAATTTTTTCGAAGTGTTATGTTTTGCTTTTTTAGGTAGGTTTTGGAACTATTCTCATTCATTTCATGTGTTTCAGTAACTTCACACTTATCAGTAGTTGGATAGCTTTCATCGACGTCAATAACGTTTGACTCATTTGTGTTTGGTGAAGAGACAGATTTGTGCAAAAAGGTATTTGGACTGTGGTTTTCATTTCTTGGACTGGGTCTCTGAAAACATATTGTTGCATTTTCGTCCTTATTCGAGGAAATACCGGAGTCACAGAGGTTTTCATCTTCTACTGCTAATTTCATTTGCTGTTCTTGATGATCGGTTTCGCAGTCATCATTCTATAGGATAAAACATAGAAGAAAGAGTAATGAGAATAAATGTAAGCCTTCAAATAGTTCTTCAAAATATTTAGGTTTAAATTGCTTACTTTTGTGAACTAATTTGCTCCAAAGTAATTTTTTATAACAGACTTACCACAGGTGAGGGACCCTTAAAAACTTGAAGCACTATTCAGTTGTGGTGCCGAGACTTGGAGAGCCAGTTCTTGCATTGAGCAGGTTACCACTCTGCTACTCAGTTGGAATTCAATAGTTCATATTTTCCAACTTCTGTTGATTCACAAGTCCTAAGCTTCGACGAAACACCAGTCCTTTGCTCTGGGGTTTTAATGGTTCTCCGGCTGGTGTCACTCGTTGATGAAAAAAGATTTAGAGATTGGAACAACAAGATGAGATATGGAGATTTAAGGTCTGGTAACCTGAGCCATTACATTGTGTTGCCATATCCCATGTTGATACTGCATATCTGAACAGGTAATATGATCATGACAGTTATGCCCCGAAGAATTTAAAATTTAGGTTACGCATGATATGTGAATTTAAAAAAGAAAGCGAACACATATATCTGATCTTCACTTTGCTTGATAGATTGTTCTGTCGATACTAACTCCGTTTGGTAGATAAAACGCTGAGGTATGTGGTTTAAAGGTAGGTGTTGCAAAACGAAAGAGTTATTCCATTTCTGTTTTCAATTCTGACAATGTAAACTAGTTTTTTGTGCATACTGATCACACGGTAAGACGAACTGTGAGAGAGTAACAATAAAAGTTGTGCTTTGGAGAAATGTAAAAACATCCCTATTACTACCCTACTTCTTACTTGGTCCAATTGAATACACCTAAACTAACATTATCACAGTTTCTAAAAAACATTTTCAAAGGTTGTTTGTTTTATCCTAATAAGCTATATGATACTGTTTTACAGCTTTACTTTACAAAATACGAAAAGATTTAGTCACGTTTTTAAATAGCGTCATTAGGAAGGTTAACTTGGAGGTGTATAAGGAGGTCAGCGGGCTGCTTGAACACTGGGTTATCGAGAAATGTCCATAAAATGTGATGAAAATCTCTACTTTCCAGCTTGTTTTATTTTCCAAAATACGTACTCAAACTGTATTGGGTACTATCGCACATCTATGAAATGTTTCCAACCTATCATTTTGCAAAAACGTTGTGGTATACAACAATTTGCTTTTTAACGCAAAGCAATAACATCACTTTACTATTCCTGAGTATTTTACCCAAAAATGTGGATTTTCTTTTTGGATGGGGAAACCACCACCAGAAAACCTATGGACACTTCCTCTCACCCCTGACTTTAAGGACTTGATACTGTATCAAACATATTTTCGAAACAAAGTGATTATTAGTGTGAAAAAGTCACTCGGCAATAGCTTTAATAGTCTTGAACAACCGACTTCTTGAAATTTCCGGATAAGTTTGACACCTCTTTAGAAAATCATATAGCCTTATGTGTATGTTGTTCGCAAGCACTGAAAAATACTGGAGAAATGAACTACATCATACAACTACTAAAAGGATAAATGAAAGATGGAGCAATTTAGTCTGAGCTTACAGATTTGTCAGCTGAAGAAGAAGTCATTAAGAATTTCACAGCATATTGATTCGGTACATAGCAGTTCTACATTAGGTTCGGCTAGCTGGGAAGTTTCATTAGTTACAGATATTATTCTCACAAGACCTTAATCATGAAATCACTGTAAATATAAACCAGAATCTTATTCTACGGTTTTTAAGTATATATCGTCTTTGAATGTGCCAAACCACTGCTTAACTGGACACAGCATCCCAACAGAGATTAGGTGAGGTCAAATAAAAGCCATGGATGTTTAAGGTTAAATACCAGTCCATAAACACGTGTGTACAAAATATCTTGTTATTCTACAACCGTTTTAATGTCATCCCACCTATTTTCACTTACTGTGTTGTGTTGACAGACATAAAGATTGAACTAACGCATTCTTTCGCAAGGTTTCAAAAAGATTTGCTAAATGTTTATGTAGCTCCTTAACGTAATTAGATAAGTTACTGTACGAGTACACTGCAAATGTTGTACAAAACGAAGACTGGCATAATTTGCAGGTATTTTTGTGTGGATATGAGTTGTCTTTGAGAAAACCAAAATGAACACAGCCTGGCTTACTGAGAAATAAATTAGCCTATAATATTTCCTAAAAACACCTGTTAATGAGGACCAAATTTCCTTTCCTTAGAAAGTTCCGAAAGGGACACAGGTCATGGGGATCAATTTACTTCGATGAACAACCTAAACGAGATGGGATAAGGGAGTTTCTCATATATATATATATATATATATATATATATATATATATATATATATATATATATACGTATATATTACATGATATTTAACGAAACATCCCAAAATATAAAAACCGTCCCTTTTTAAGAACTGAAACGGTAAAATAAACACAGTTGAGTTCAAAGTGGCTTGCCGAAACAAATAATGCCAACCGATTAAAAATAAATGTTTTCTAACAATATGATCTATTTTGAGTTTAGTCTTATCAGCAAGGGTTTCGACATCCTCGGTATATTTTATGACAAGGTTTAGAATTTTAGTTTGCAAATGGCTACAACTTATCTGCAAAACCGAATTTCTAGACTGGTAGAAAATTGGATGCATCATATCCCTAGCAACAGAGCTGAGCTCAAATATTTTGAAAATCCAAAAACGTCCACAGGAAACTACTACCCAAGAGAATAATTGCGCAAACTCACCCGTAAATGTTAATATGCTAGTCGGCGTTCTGTTTCTTAAAAATTCATTTTCTTTTTCCCATAAGGATGACTTAAATCCTTATCAAGAATTTTAAGAAGTAGTCCTAAAAAGGACAACTAGAGCACCTAAAAGCTCAAGTATACTGGAGCCCAGTCCTATCCCACGAGACTGCGTATAGTTTGAGAAAAACAGACAAATGCCATCACCAACCCATTGTCATCAGTGATAAGATATGCTCTGGATTCTTTCTTTATTCTGCGCAAAACATAATTCTCATAAGTTTTCCCAGAAATTGTCGAAAACAATGTAAAGTTGGTAGACTGTCGATAACTTGTTTTCCATCAGAGAAAAGAGAAATAAATTGGTGTTCAAACCACAATTCCAAAGCAAATGAGTCTTATAAACTCATAGCAAAATATGAAGAACTTAGGTTATTTCAAAAATCTCAGAGCAACTTCCGCATAGTAATAGTATTTTTACATCACAGAATGAATAAACTAGGAGTGGTACAACACAGTACAAACCAATCTAATTCTGTGTGAAAAATTCTCAAAACTAAACGAATGAACAAACTCACTTCATTTGTAGATTGTGTTTTCATGGAGCAAACGCCCATCGGTGAATCATCATTTACTATAGAATGTGAGTAGGTAGGGTATTTCCAAGGTATTTGAGGGCTGATGATACCATAAGATTCATTTCTGGAAGATGTACATACGTTCAGCATCACATCACTAATCTTCGCCATCAAATGGAATGATATTTGAAATGCTGGTAATAGTTCATTTGATGATAATCTACTTGCCAAGACTGATGCATCTCGAATCTGTAAATTAAGTTCATTCTTAGAAATCATCATATTACCATTTTTGTAAACTTTTCTAAATATTCTGTTGTCACTTCTTTATCACCATGCCTTTTGCAATCGACATCGTTATTAGAGCACTTCATAACTCCAAAAACACATGAAACTGCCGGATAAACGAGGTCATCTAAAGAATTCGATTGGATTAAAAAAACACTTTCAGAGATCCAAGACAACAAACTTTCCTAATCTTGATCATTTTGTTAAGGAAGAGTCCATATAATTTCCTTGAAAACTACCTCATATGCTGTCAGTTATTTATTCCTACCGAAGTGAGCAAATGGTTTCTGCCAGGATTTTTAAAAATCTAGGGGACGTAGCACTAATTGAATTTAGGTAAAATGCCTAGGCTGTATGGGTAATTGGTTGCACGGTCAGTGAAGTTTCTGAAATTCTCACTCTGTATCTTATAGGGCGTCTTGGCAACACGTTTTTAGAAGTCTGAGGTGCGGAAACATCTTGTGAATGGAAACGGAACATAATCATGTCTTGCTAAAAGAAAGATTGAAGGAACGTTTCCTCATATTCTTCGAGATGAGCAAGAATTCGGGAGAAGGGCTTTGTGCGGTTTCTAAAGAAAACTGATTTCATAAAACACGATAGAGTCGTCCACTTTTGGTAAACTCCAGAAATCCGTGGAGCTTCATATTCTATCGTAGACTTCAGTTTCTGTGCAGGATGCACGAATCAGAGTTCGTTTCTGACAGTCACTGCCATCACTGTATCAAGTAAGGTTTTGACTTGGTAGCAAGAAAATCCAAGATACCTTCTCAGATCAATGGTGCAAAGTCAAAATGTGCCATAAAACCATTTTACCGCGCTCAAAAGGCATTTTATGAATTTCAGCAATCGTTTTCTATCTTTCTTGCTAACTTAACGGATCGTTCGGAATAGGGCCACCATTCTAGTTTCCGCAATTGACACTGTAACTGTCATCCACCCACGCATACAGGTTTGGAAAGATGGCATATAATTCAATCACACGGCCTCATTTCTTGGTGCAGTATCCTATTCTGACACAAAATGTCACGGATCTTGATGCACTGCAGTGCAGGATTCTGACAAACGGAGTCCGGACACCAAGTCTGCCTAGACTAGTTTCTTGAAATTGCGTTCTCCTCTACTTGATTTCTCTGTTTAAAAGCTCAAAACATTTCTGTTGTAAGACAGAAGCTTCCAGTATGTGTTTCACCATTCCAAGGTTTCGTAATGACTGAGAAAGTGGATGGAACCAAAAATAAAATTCAGGAATAACGTTTTACGAAAAGTAATAACTTACATCAGCTTCCTTTGTTATAATCATCCTTACCACCTAGTTCACAATGAGAAGGTTCGTTGAAAAAAAGAATAACAATGTCATCTGAGTAGAACTAAAAATTCGCTTAGAAAGTCTAAGATACTTAGTGCTTCCCTCATACACTTTGGAGAAAGACAAAGAGCTGTTTATCGTGTAAAAGTGGTTCTAGTATAATCAGCCCAAGAGGGATGACCATTCGTCGGAATAATATAGTCTAATAATATACTATTCCCCTTAGTTTAGACCAAAACTTTAATCAAATCCTGAAATACATCTGTCTACCTTTACTAGTCCATAACTTAAACTCTTAGTTGCTCTTACCAACTTTAGAGCGAGTTCGGCACCCAGTGTTTGATACATCTATTGAAGAGCCGAAAGCAGAAAATTCTTTATTTTCCAAGGATTTTATGCACCATACACTGGTTTTTAAACTATCCGTTTCTTGGGATGCATCTTTTCTCTTATTGTGGAAACTAACGTCTTGTTGTTTTCAGTTAAGAACTCGTGAACATCTAAGGTTTGATACGTGCCCCTCACGTAAACATCTCTGGACTTACTTCACCACACATAATGGCTTGTGAAACACGAGGTTGACTGATATGATATCCAAACTTCCCAGAGTTATGAATGTTACTGGAACAGTGAGTTCTTTGTAGTTATTTCAAACCCTCGAGTTTGAGGGTAGGAATCTGTATGCGCTGAAGATTTAGTTATTGCCATTGCGCTTCCATTGCTTCATGCTAAACGAAAAGCAATGAAGAAAGACGCTATTTGTCATTCTGTTACTGTTTATTTGCGGTTAAGTGTCCGTATTCTTCTAAGCAGTTTGGGGTCAGTCAAAACTTTAAGCATCTTCGACTGGGTCTATAACGAAGGCCGTGCTTTTGCAAGGAGATAGGAGATAAGGAAGCAGTTCAAGGGAGGGCTGAACCTTGGGATACACCGAACGTAATTACAACGTGACTGCACGGCTGCCTCCCACTTAATCATTAACCATGTAGAAAAAGGCTAATTCGGTCTTCAATGGAAGGTAAAGCAAGCTGTTAGCCTCCTTCCATCCTCACAAGGGACTTATCTAGCCTTCAGACCGTTCGTATGAGTGGTTTTCATAGCTGTCATCAAGGAATAGTAACAAGGACTTCCCTGTAAATGAACAAAATACTGAGATCAAGTCGGCAAACAAGAGAAAGTGTGCCCGTATCGGTAGATTTTGGAGGGACGGTCACTGATCTTCCACTGTCTTCCATCGGCGTTATGGTGGGAGGACACACTAATGGTCAATCATAAGTGGCGAAACGGCAGCCAATTTGTTTCCATTTGCCACCAATGAAGGTTATCTTGATGATATGAGTCTTCGAGGTTTTGATTTAAATTCTTTGTTCGTTTGGCGTTCGGGTTTCCAGATAATTTGGTAAGTTTTCACCAAAGTTCATAACACAATGATATTTCCATGCTGCAACCATCAGAAATTTTGGTGGAAAAGACAACGAAAACAGTCGTAGCCCCTGTGTCTTTGTGGCTGGAAATTGTTCACATATTAAGAGGTCCTATTGTGTCTGTAGGTTTAGTAGCGGTATTGGTGGTGTTTTCAGTAATTGTGCCACCTTGCAAAATAATTTCCTCCTCACTAAGTTCTCTCGCATCTGGAATAGGCTTTCTGATATATCAAGTGCCACAAGTTCATTACCTGTTTTTCTCCCCTCACTTAATGGGCTCCTCTTAGGTGATACGTCCGTCACTCGCTTGGCCACTATCTATGAGTCCTGGGCTAATGGCAGTATACTGGGCCTCCAAACGTATGCGGTTAGGATATCGCCAACCTAAAGTACTTTTGGCCCTAATTGACTCACGAATTTGATCACTATTTCGCTTGTGCAGTCGGCGAAATGCAAGCTATAAAAGTGCAGGGCACCCAGTGTGGGGTCAGTTTTTCTCTTATAATTACATATGAATACGGTGTATCTAAAAACTAACTCTACTCAAGAAACACAGAAGGGTTATTCTTATACGAATAAATTAAAGCGTACATAAAGTTCGCATGAGACTAAAAAATAGGAACTTCTCTCTCCTGTTTCTCTTGCGTGGCACGCCATTCTCCTGTTTTCGCTCGTGCCCCCTTTTTTCTTCTCTTTTCAGCACAAACTTGACAAGGAAGTCTTAAGCACAACTTTGACCAAAAAATATCAACTACGGGAAATGATACTTTTTAAGTGATGCCGAAAGTTGTCGAGAGGGTTCTTCAACTAGTTCGCCCCCAATATTTTCTGGTTTTTTGGAAAATTTCGCAGTAAAACCCACCTGCTTGCCAACATCTGAAATGCCACCATATGCGAAACCTCAACTACAGTAACCGATCTAAGGTTTGTAGACGGTCATGATGACAGCTAAAATCTGGACGAATAATTAAACCTAAGAAGTCACTCTACCTAGCGATTCTCCAAGTAATATATTCGCGTAAACATCATGCAACAGACTTCTTCAGAACTTTATCGCATTTGACCCATATGATAGACAGTTAGCAGCCAATGCACCTCCTTGATAATACTTCACACTTCAGTGTAAATTCTACGTAAAAATCGGCCGCTTTTAGGCGACGGTTCCTCTAGTGTTTGTTTCTTCGGAGCACAACAACTAAGTCCAATTTCCTACAATTATGTTGTTATGCACGGTAGCGTGACAAGTAGGAGATGGTCGACCTTGGATATTCACGTGGATTGCACGATTATGCGGACACTTGCAGTTACCTGAAGCTGGTGAAGCGAGTTATTGTTGGGCAGCGAAGCTATAAAACATGTTGATTGAAGTTGAAGTAGGTGTTTATCTGATGAGCCATGGAACCATGCAGACGGGTCGAACGTGTCAGCCATTTACGACTCAAACACAGAATCTTGCGCGGACTGGTATCAATAATATGTGCACCGCCTTGATGCCACCTATGGTTGAAAACGACACAAACCCATAGGCACTGTCTATGAACTGTGAAGTGACACTTTCCTGCTTTTTTTATAAATCGTAGACACTTTTGATATCGTGATAGAGCCCAACGTCCTTCGTTCCCTACCCCTCAGCCTCCCAGTGTTGTAGATTTACCTTTCATTAACAACTTGATGGTGTCTGTGAGCTGGCTGGCTTCTCTCATGCCGAATTACTATCATTAATATAAGGTGGCGCTGTATCTCATCGGTGTTCAGTTTGTCGCTCATATGGAGGGCACTCGTAATAAACGAGCACCATTCTAAAAATTGGACGGCAAAACCCTTGTGCCGGCGCCACAGAAATTGGGTGCGATATGCCTTAATAGTCTCTGGTACTTTTTCTGCCATACGTTGCTTTTAAGAGAAGTTCAGCTAGTCATTTTGTTTATGGCTCACTATGTATAAACAAGGTTCTAATAACGGTTGTAGCTTTAAACTCCTCAAAGTCCATTTCGGTCACTGAAGGCAAGTATAAGACTTCAAGTTGATTGTGTTTAAAGAAGGATGAAGGGGCTGCATTTGGCTGCCCACTTTTCAGAAGTCTGGACATAATTATTGCAAAGCAAACATTTACTGGCTGTTGGATATCAGCAAGACCACTTTCTTAGGTGACGGAGTGGGTACTGCTACAACCAAAACAAAATATTTCAGCTTCAACACAAGAAGCGATTCAATGGAACCAAATTAACGCGATCCAGATACGTTACCGCTTTATTCTGTGTAGTTTCTCAAGCTTCATTGAGTCAAACCCAGTCGAAGATCATATTTCAGCAGTATGAAGACACGAAGCGATGTGATAAATTTGTGATCCTGCTAAGCAATAATAAGTTTATTTAGAG